TACTGAATTTGTAAATTACTAATTATTCAGCTCACTAAGCAAGGCAGGCTCATTGCCTGCGCGTGATATTCCCCCTCCCGTCAAGTCTAAGCGCATATGGAAGAGTAGGAATTCTCAGCTATATTTTGATTGATGGAAGCCATTAAAGTGCCATGATAAAGGGCATAAACAGCTATAATGGGTAGGTCACTAGTAAGCATAAGCACATTTCCATGTTTGTCAGAGAACAGGTGTAGAAGATAAAGTCCAGCTGAGCACTGAAAACAGCAGTTTTCTGTGTCCGCAGAGAGAGCTTGGGGGTTGCCTTGTTAACCAGAAGACGGTAAGAGGTGATGGCTGTATCCAGTGGCCTAGGGGGAGTTAAAGAGGGGTCTTCACTGTGGGAGACAGAGACAGGAGCCAGACAGACACCATCTCAGAACTGGGGAGATTTCAGAGCTACTGGCCAGCAGAAACTGTGGGAACTACACCACTAGGAAGGAGACCACCAAGAAAGGAAGTAAGGAAATTGTCTGCAATATGAGGGTCAGAAAAAAAATTACATGGTGGGCCTTGAACCAAGAAAAGAGATTTGTTCTTCCTGTCCTGTCTGTCAGCAAGAGAGATGATTTTGGAAATAAGCTATTCAAGAATTCGTAAGAAAGAGACCTGAGATGGAGTCATAATCATGACTTGAAAAATGAATGAACTTCAATGTCTTAGTCCACTTATATTGGGGCAATCAAAGATGGCTGACATAAGGTTGGTTGTGGTACCTTCAACTGAATAAACCCAAATGAAAGGAAAACTTGGGGAAACTATATCTAGTTCTTAGCTTGAAATCACGTTAGCTAAGTGGCCAAATAGGTGTGCCTTCCCCTCCAAAAGTGTATCCTTGTACAGAGAAATATCTGCCACAAGAAGAATCAAAACATGATACTTCTAGAGTGAATAGGTTAAAACCTCCCCTACCCAGTCTTTGGTTGCTGCAATATCTACCAAGACACTTTATGAAAAGGGAAAAAAGATTAACTATTGCCTGTACTTGACTGCTTAGACATGACTAGGAGTGAAAATTAACAAGTGACCAGATCTTCCCAGACTAAAGACAAGGAGGGTCATACAGAAAGCTCAAGAAGAGAGGAATTATAGCTAAAGTCACTGGAAATAAGGATCAAGTATAGCAGATGAATGAGATTGTGTTTTCCAGATTAGAAAAACAGAAGTAAATACTCTAGATGGCAGGATGGACTTGAAAACAATCAAAATTTAAAAACCCTAAAATGCTTAATTCAGTATAAAGAAACAAGGGAGCAATGAAAATCAGTCACTAAATCCAACACAGAGACCATGAATAAACTGTACTGTTTCAGAAGTTCTACACCAAGACAGTTCCAAGCATGCTACTCAATCTATACATACCACTAGAAGCCAGGCTTTACAGGCAGTGTTCAGGCACTGGAAGCAGGGAAAATGAAGTAATGAATTGGTGACAGGAAAGTGAAGAGTATTCTGCTAGATATGGCAAAAAGAGATGGGTTTTGTGATGGCAACTTTTATTTTTTGATTCTGGCTCAGATAGTTCTGCATCAGAAAAGAAATATACACCTGAGATGAGGTGACTTTGAAATGACAACACTAAGTAGCTTTCTCTTTTTTTTTTCCTTTTTTTTAGAATTGGACTACTTTAATAGAGACTTCCATGGAGACAGTTCAAGACTTTTTCATTCACAGTGTGACTTCCAGACCCTGCATTATCCTAAAATGCATGAAATTTCATCTGACATTTTGAAAGATCTGTTTCAAAAGTAAGAGGCACTATTGGCTTCTCAAAGCATTTCATGCAGCTCAATTCCTAGTAGACAGATCCTTTCACCAAGGTGCTGCCAAAGCATATCTTGAATCTTGCATGAAACAGAAAATACATATACATATACTGTTTTAGAGTATATGTGAAGCTGTTCCTCTAAGCTTTCTCAATATAATTTATGATACTAATGTGTATCTCAAGTTTTTTTTGTAGGTGCTGTTGCAAGTTATCCCATGTCAATACCTGGTTTCCTACCATGGCACTGTGGTAGGTAACCCTGGTGAGGTTTGAACAGTCCTGCTTGTAAGAACATTTGAAAAACTCCATCAGTCATGATGACATGCTGAGTAGTGCATACACAATACCTGCAAACTGTTGTTCATAATCAGTGTTAGGATACTCACGGGGTGGTTGCACACAGGTCAGCAGGGCATTAACTCAGGATAGGAGCAGACTCTGAGTGACTTGGAGGAAGAGGAGGGAGGCAGTGGCTCACATTCTATCTAATTAGAGAAAAGCTTTATTTTAACTACTACTTTAAAAGTTGTCAGGTTATAAAAGAAATAACATTGCCAAAAAATGACTAAGGAGAACTATGGGACAAATTAAACTGGCAGAACTACTGTGTAATATAATGCAAAACAGCATTATAAGAGGCAGAAAGGCAGGCAACTATTTCCTATGTGCAAATATGGCTAGAAACTGCTTCTCCCTTGTTTTCATCTTCTCCCAACCAGAAAAGGGCTAGGGAAAATCTAGGCAGAGATGAACACCAGTTACCAGGCAGTTTCCATATACCCCCTGAGTTTGAGCAGTGACTTGACTCCCTTGTGCATGTCACTTTTTTTCCTTTCTGAAATATATTTCATCTCAGTTCATCTTTTGAACTTAATAGAATAACCAGGAAGTGACACTTAAAAGCAAAAAGCAGATTTAGATATCCTCAAGCTGTTGAATAATGTGATTATGGATCTTCAGTTGTTGGAAGGAGCAGCAAAATGTGATGTATTAAGTTGCAATGATTTTAGCACATCTTTTCAGCAAATTATACATGTGCTATAGTTTTCATCTGCTTTCTACAGAGGAAGATCAGTTCACTTCCATCACAGACTGGAAGTTTCTTTTGGAAAAGAATGGGCAATTCTTTTTGGTGAGATTCAGAGTTTGTGTGAACTGCCAGTGACCCCCTTGGCTGTTCTGTCAGTGCCTCTGCGGCACTGCCTCTGTGCCTCACCCATCCCCACGCTGAGCTTTCAAAGGTCTTAGAAATCAACTGCAAAATAATTACTGCAGTGCTTGGCTCCAGCTCTAACTTGGAAAGTGCTAAGTCATCAGCTCTACAAGACATAAATTATCAGTTCTGGTCAGTCTCAATGCAAAAATATGAAAGCCACAGCTTCTTGAAAGCACATCTAGACATATCTTAACTCCAGTCCAAATAAAATAAAAGCACATGATGGAAATGTGTAATGCTTTCTCCAGTGGTTTGTGGTGCCTTTAGCACAATGGGGCAGATAAGGATGGTTTTGGGACTGACCAGTGCTCATGGCATCCTGGGTATGTTGGTTGTGGTCTAAACCTGATCTGAAAAGCAAAAAAGACTTTTACAGTGGAACTTTTCCATATTCTTAAAATAAAATGATCTTGAACATTTCCATTTTCATAGTTCCTTTCTTTATGCCTGACTGCAAGGTAAAAGTAATATCTAGACAGTAATACTGGTCCAAGAGATAAATGTACTAGAAAAAATATTTTGGTTATGAATTGCTGATGAACGTTTTCTGATTTTAACACTAACTAATATTCTCTAAGTAATTTCTGCAATAAGTTTTTGGCCTAAAGACTGAGCAATTTAATTTTTTTAAACCCTAGCCTTGCAAACCACTTAATAAATAGCTCATGTGAGCTGTTTCCATTACTTTGAGTGAAACCAGGCTCCTTTTGCAAATAGTTGCGTCTTAGAGTTCAACATTTGCCTTCTTTAAATACTTCTATTTGTTTAAGATTAGCTGTTTCACAAACATTCTTCAAACCTCTTTGCTAAAATACTGTTGAGAATACTGCTCATAGATAAAATTCTGCATTTTCCTAAAACAGAGACAAAATGTACTTTCAGTTATTTGTTGAACTGTGTTAACAGGATATTAATCAAACAATTAAGAAAAATTTATCCAGTTATTGTGCAGAAGCCAGTACTATTGCATTTAAGTACCTCACAATCTTATCCAGAAAATGATTCCATGCAGAAAGGATGTATCAATACTTGTATTTTATAGCCTAAGAGCAAAGCCTAGAGAGGCTAAACAACCTTCTAGGGATCACCTAGAACTTTTGACACAAAGGAAAACATAAACAGAGGCTCCACTGGAATACCTTTCCTTTCCTGAGGAAAAAGGAAAACTATTTTACTGAGTGATCCTTTCCAACCAGCACCGCTCAGTCACAGAGCACTGATGCTTGTCGGATTCTTTCAGGAATATTCCAGGCACGAGTCTTTGTTTTAGTCTCTCTGACACTTTGTCTAGTTTCTGAATCCCAGTGGTACTGAGGTAGGATGTATTTTGGCACGTACACCGTGAAAAGTCCCAAACTATTGTGAAAGATTTATAGATAACTTTCTGTAAAAAATGCAAGAGACTTTACAAGTATCCCATTTACTTCTAACTTTGAAGTTAAAAAAATCACAAATGCTTTAGCTAGCTAAATATTTATAATAGCTTGTCTTTATGTATGCAATGCATAATGCCTTCCAAGTACTTTAACAAGCTAGAAATAGAGAAACATTGAAAGCTGAAAGAGCCATATTTGGGGTGAAAAATGGAAATTGTTTAAAAACACCACATTCAGTTAGAAGAGAAATGACACATTTTAACGTATGGGCTATTTTAAGTGAAGCAGGCGGTAAGGATTATAGTTAGAATTTGGCCAGAATATCAGGCCAGGATATCATACTTGCAGAAGAGAGCAGCTGTCAGTAATAAAAGTAAATAAGCAATAGGAGCCCTCCAAAGTAAGAGACATCTGCACCCATGGCCAGACTGGAGGCTGAGCTCAGGCATGATCTGTGTACAGCAATTTTGGTGCTTCTTCCTGGAATGCCCTGGGTTTCCTGGTGAGGAAGCATCCCCTGAAATAAACATCTACTGTCCAAAACTACCCAGAAGATGCCCAAGGCATGTAATCTAATTGTGCTCATTTGTCTTAGGAAGTTCTTGGAACATGGATGCCCTTCCTTCACTGTAGGTTTTCCTCACTCAAGCAGCAATGCTCACTTTTCTACCACTTGGATTTCTTCCCTGAGCATTGCAGCGCTTTGGCATCAGCCAGAACAGCAGCAATGTCAACAGGTGAGAGCTGTGGGCTCCTTCCAGCACACGCCTACAGCTTCTGCAGATATAAAACATCTTTGTGAGAAGTTCATGATGCTGGTAGATGCAGCCAAAAGATGTGTATTCCAGTGATGCTACAAGCTGTCAATATTGCCCCCTGACAGCAGTTGGCAGTAAAGCTTATTGCTGCAGGCCTGACCTCAGCCCTCATTGCTTTCAGTACTCCAAAAATCAACTCCCATATCACTAAATGCTATTTTCTTTACTGGGAAAGACTGAAGGGGGATACTTTTGCTCCGCAATCAATACATTTATCTGTACAGTCAAAACTTTGGGCAGAGAGATGCAATTAATTGCCTGAAGTGCTTGAAAATTTGCACTAAATACATTTATATTCATTTCATTAGTCAATTTTCTGCAACTTATCTATTTATGTATTATTTGTGTCTGCAAAATGCAAAGTTTTACTCACTATAAATCAGAAAGTGCATTGTGGTACTTGTTTTTTCTCTGGATTTAAGTCTGTTTGCCAAACAGACTTGTGTATTTGTTTGCTGAAATTTCACAACAGACAGACTGGTAGTAAGGCATTTTTACAAGCAATGAAAATGCATTTGACCGTTCTTATGGGCTTCCAAAGAACTCAAACCAGAAAGGCAGGGCAGGGAGGAGAGCAGGGAGAACCACTGCTTCCTCTCACGTCACTTCACTGTTGAGACTCAACTGGATGCTTTTCTGTGACCGACATATAACACTCTGTATTTTGTGTCTCAATTGCTGTTTCAGCAGCTCCGGGCTACCCCCTTTCACCAGACAGACATGCTGTCTAAAAGTTGTTACATTAACATTTTCTTCCATGTATAGCAGTTCTAGAAATTTTCCTATCTGGGCTGTACAGGGGCCATAAATGAGATCACCACCTCTTTCCACAAGGTGTCATACAAACTTATGGATCAAAAGCTACAGCCTGTAGTCAACAAAACTGGCAAGTGGTGTTATTATTCATCTAAGTGAGACAGAGAATGCCATTTCTTTGGGGGTGGGTCCACATAGTCTAGGTGGCCTGGGAAGAAAACGCACTGAAGAAGATATATATAACTTGGGGCAAAATTTCTCAAGCTGGGGTAGATTTATGCCAGTTCAGGGATATTATAGCTGTAATATTTTTTCCATTCAACTCTGCTGAGATTTTCATGGGATAGCTAATGCCAAATCGGTCTGACTTGCCTAGGACAATAAAAGTAAGGCCCCATTTCCTAGAAAGGGGAGACAGTTTTCTGAGTCCCTACCTAGTATATTATCATACCTTCCTTCCTTATTTCTGCATCTTCCAACACCACAGTACAATGAATGCAACCTTGGCTTTGACCTTTTTCTAGTCATGATACCCATCAAGAGCTTTGAAAAGTATGGGAAAACCAGTAACTGAGGTAATTGTTTCAAAACCACATGGCTGACAGGAGACTTTCTCATTATGCAAATATAACATATATGTACAGCTATGAGTGAGCATTTCTTTGTAAGCACACACCTGACATATCCCTTGTGATCTTCATCCTAAACTAGCATGGCTTCAGATGCATTTATTCATTTAAGTCTCAGTATATTCACTTAGTTAAAACAGAAAGACAGCTACTATGCCAAAGGGAGATGTTCTGAACTGCTCTCAGCTGGGAGTCTCATTTTATGCAGCTTACAGAAAGGCTTCTGGAAAGCTGCACATTAACGCAAAACACAAATGGTAACTGAACAGGGTACAAAGAGGCTGTTCTCACAAATGTCTCATCAATAAACATCATAAAAGACTTGCGTCAAGAAATAGTACTCCATCCACCAGTATACGCAAACCATAGTAAATAATGAAAACATAAATAGGAGAGCAATAAGGAAGGCAGGCAGGGAGTACAAATGATAGCACTGAAACACAAATAAAGCAGCAAGGTTACTGGTGAAAACAGAGGATATTTTTTATATAGGAAATTGTGCATATCGTTCTGCTACCACAGAGATTAGTAATGGGGTGAACAGTAAAGTGATTGGATTCATTCTTTTATCAAGATGCTGGAGTTTAGAGAACCGAGTCCTTTGAGTTTGAAAAGGGTCACTTGGGAAAAATAATTTGAATTTATTTTTAATTGAAGCACTTGCAATGTGGATCAGAATTCAAGGACCTTTTATTTCTGCAGTGTAACTCACTTCAAAACGCCTCTGTTCTTGAATGAGTGTATCAACACAGTCCATTTTGGTTTGTGCAAATTCACCTGACTAGATTAACTGTCTGAAGCACCTCCACACAGACAGACAGTAAACAAGGAAAAGAGATGCACCACAGACAAAGAAAAGAATAAGACGGGAGTACAAAGCTCATTTTATCTTGTGCTGCAGGCAAAGCTTGCCTCTAAAGGTGTCAGGTGAGTACAAATGCAGTCCTTAATTCATCCAACAAATGTACAAACCACATCTGCACAGAAAACAAATAAGCTAGCATTCACACGAAAAGGGTATTAAGAAACTAAGGTAAAGATGAAAAATGGAATCTATTTATTCTTGTCTTAAAGGACAGGCATTTTCTTTAATTAGAAGCAAGCATCCACATAACAAATGCAACCTTGTAACTTTTAATAGCTGAAGCATAAGCATAATCAGTCGTGGTGGAAATTCCAGATTGCATGCTCTCATCTCTTGACCTTGTTTCCCTCTATCTGTAATTAATACCTTCGTATTAGGGGGGCAATGACTTTGTAAGGAATGTCAATAAATACACACAGTCTAACATTCTCCATATTGTCACAAGAGCCACAGACCAAGTCTGTGTTTAAGGCTGCTGCACCCCTGCAGCTGTGCAGCCAGAGCTGCTCTTTCTGGACAGAAAGGACTGACCACAGGAGTTCAATGAGCACACACCATTTGCAGGCACAGTGAGGAGAGCACTGGAGAGCTGACCTGCATCATGCAGCTCGTGGTCATGGACTCCCTTCTGTCACTAATGAAAGGGGTGGGATGTTGCTACATAGTACGTGTTGGAAACCAAGGCTGTAAATTCAATGCATTTCATGTTAACTGGAGCAACCAAATGGCTGCACAGCAAAGACCAATCTTCTAGAACCAGAAGGTGGTATATCTGAACAAACTCCATTAACAAACTAAGCACTCATGGTCCAGACCTTTCTCCTTCAAATTGCTCCCTTTGTTCTAGAAGTTTCCCAAAAAGAAAAAGTAAGCAGTCAAAAAAAAAAAAAAAAAAGTAAAAAAAAAGTAAAATGTTTACATCCTGTTGGAGAAGGGGATTTATGTCTGTCTCTGCCCTTCATCAGGTTAAGACTAACTGATGACTCCTCCAGCTTTGGCTGGAGGCCATGGCAACATCAATTATGTGAGACTGCTCAGCTTTATACTCGAAGAAACTCAGCTTTACCTCCAAAAAACCCCACAAACCCAACACCAAACACATAAAGAAAAAACCCCCAACAAACCCACAAACCAAAGAGCACCAAATTTATCTTTCATCTGTCTCTTTGTATTTAAAAAAAAAAATGTTTGTGTCCTTTCCCCTTCGTTCTTCACAGGTGAAAATTGTTGGGCTGCTGAACATCAACAACAGGCAGCAACAAGTTTTGCCTTTAAGCTGTGGAAGAAACTCTATTGCCTTCAATGGCACTAGGGCAAGAGCTCAAAGTCTATTCTGAAAGACCAGAAGAAATACGAACAGAATGATGTGAGGAGTAAACTCAGAGAAATGCTGATTGTGAGATACTAAAATGCTATTTCCTGGAGCAATTACTTGCCTCAGTGAGTGCACAGAAATCAGCCACACTTAAGGTACTATGACACTTCACACAGCATTGTGCAACTCAGTTCTCCAGTTAAGCTACATCCTTCTCCTCTTTATGGCATCATTTAGAGTATTTTATTAGCCATATTTTAAAACCCCCCTTGATTTCTTAAAAATTGCTCTCTATTTGCCTCTCAGCTTTCTATCTGTCAAACAGGATACAACTTCCTATCCATAAGGCATCTGTAAAAAAATATTAACCTGCATGAAAAGGACTCTATAATCTTCTGGGATAAAACACAGACCCTTTTAAGGACCAAAAGCACTCAAAAGAAAAAAACCTGCCTCTGCCATCACATCTGGTGCTCTACCTCTCACAGATCACTTAACTGTTGAAGAGCTTGTTTTAATTATTTTCCTGTTTGAAGTAACAGCTAACCACTCACTGAGCTTCCTGCCCCATTCCCTCTCTGTAATGCTAGATTTTGTACCAATGCAAACAGGTAATCCACCCATAAAATCCAGGTAATTAAAACAGTTTTACAGCACAGCCATGGTATCAAAGCAAACAAAAAAATAGAGTGTAGCAAATAGGGTCTCTGGGGCCTCCAGCAGGGTGAAGAGAAAAGCAAGACACAGCCAGTGTCTCAGTCCCTTCAAAAACAGCAACCCAAAATGTACAGAGCGAGCACACAGCAGGCAGAGCTGGAGCGCAGCCACACTCTACTCGCACCAGAGCAAGACTGTTGCTTGTGCCCTTTGATGGCAGAGGTTAGCACTGCCAACAGGGCACAGATCGCTTCAAAACCTGTACACAGAGGTGTCTGTAACTTGAATAAAGAAATTTAGAAGAGAAAGGTCATGGCCCAATGCATAGATCGCAAAAGGAAAGACATGTAGCAACTTCTCATGAGGCACTGGGATAATTTGCATATGCTGCGTACAAGACAGCAACACATGGCAGAGGAGCTTGTTGACAACTTAATGATTGTATTACTTACTCTGGTGCCTAAACAAAAGAAAGATGCAACTCTGTAGTTTTATTAAGTAAGAGGAAGTTCTGTAAGTCTAACTTTGGAGGCTAGTACCTAAAAATGTGCATCTTGTTAGTGGGAAATGTGCTATTACCATTGAATTCTGGACCTTTAAAATTTAAAGTTTAAAGTTAACATAACTAGACACTGGTATTTCATACACTTGTGTCTTAGAGGGCTTCCTCCACAAATTTGTATGAATATACCTTAAAGGATTGTAGAGAGCTCTGAATATGTCACAAAAGGAAAATGAAACTCAAGGTGCATGTATGTTTCCATAATGAGAAAAGCACTGCATCTGTGAAGGCTTATACAACAGTGACTTCTGCTGTGAAAACCTTGTCAAACCAGCATATCAGTTATTAAGGTTAAAATTTCCTGGTATTGCTCTTATTACTCAAAATACTGAATATGCTTAAAATAGAACTTAACAAAATGCTTCTGACAGGGTACTTGAAATGTGAGAGGCCTCAGTTCCTGTTCTTGCTCCTATAGCAAGGGATAAGGTGTCTATTTTAGTGGGACAAGGATGGAGGCATAAAAATCAAACTGTTCACTAGTCCCAAAAGAAAACCAAAACTTTTTCATTATCATGAAATTGTCGACACAATTTTGAACACAGGTGGATTCAAAAGAATTTCCAGGACTTGCATCTGACATCTTGATCTGATGCCATTGCATCTTACCTGAGTTAAAAGCAGAGGCAATTTTGGTGAACTTCTGTTATGCCTGCATCCTAGGGACACTTAAAAGATTTTCCTTCCAAGAAGAGTGCAACAACACCTTTGACAACTTTTGCCTCTAAGAAAAAACAGACCATAATAAACTAACAAGGCTTTGGAGGTTTGTGAAAGTAATTGTTTTTTTATTTTCTAAAAAATTGAGTGGTTTCAACAAAGAGCTTTACTTGAAATAAAAGAGCCCATGAATCCTCACAAATTTTAATACAGGGTTATCTTCTGGAAAAACAATTACTAATGAAGAAAAACCATCTGTTCCCCATAAATTAGAACTGGTTAAATGTTCACTGGAAAATATTTATTTGACTAAACAAAAGAACTCTCTGCACCCTTCTATGTTTAAAGCCAATTTTCTTGCTTGTGTATTCACGAATAGGTGGAAAATAACTCTGTGCACAGGCTATACACATTAAGTTAGTCAGCATAAACTGTCACAAAGGCTTTCCATTTTAAGTCATACCTTTTATAAGTAGGACTTGACACTAAGCCAGTCAGCCTGATGCTCTCTCATGCTTTTTGCATACTTTAGAGACTAGATTATTATTGTCTGGTCTCAACAAAAGGTCTGTAGCCATACAAGGCTTAGTATGCCTTCATCAATTTAGAGTGATTGTTACAAAATAGCCCATAATAGGTATCTGAATTTAATGCACTAGAAATGTTGGATTTACAGATAAGAAATATGGTATACTTCTCAATCTCTTTGGAACCACCATTATTTGAATTCCCTCTGATGGTGCATTACAGACTGCAGCACACATTAGTTTAAGAATCGGTTACTTCGTTTTTTCATGCCATGCACGGCAGCTGTTGATTTACAGTCATCACTAGGGCTGCAAGTTCTCACCATTGATTCTGCCCATACGTTCTGTTTATGGAAGAAATTATCATAGAATACATGTTATTTGATTTTCATAAACCTAAGCATGATTCTACAGTGGTTTGTTTTCTTTTTTTGTTATTGAAGTGCTTTATGATTTACAAAAAAACCAAGAGAAGAATTTACAACCAGGCTTGTGACCTTGAGGAGTACAGTCTGAAACTCTGCTCCTAATCTTGCAAGAAAAACAATCAGTGCTATATACAGCATAAAATGACTGTAAATGAGATGTTGTAACTATAAAAATAAATAGAGTGTCAGAGATGTTTGATGTATGAGTTTGCATCAAGGGAGCATTTCTCAAATTTTAAAAGAATAATTTGATAAATGCAGGTCATCTTCCATGTATTACCGAAGAAATAATTTTTAGTGCTTTTTTTTCATCTGTTGTAGTTTTTGTACTGACTGTATTAGCATACTGGGAATGGAAAGATTTATTCTCTCTCACATACCAGAAATAATTTTTTCCCTCTAATCATTACATTCTGTACTACACACAGTAAAAACTCCCAAACATGACTTTTAATGATGAGCAATTATATAGTCTAACTCCTGTTTTCAGCAGCTGGCTTGAGATGTCTTTTAAAGGGTCCTTTCTTTTTCAGAAGTTAATCAATATTTTCATGAAAATTGTGAATGCCAAGATGAAACAGAATAACAGCTTTCCTTTCGATGAAACTTAACGCCTTATTTCAATGTTTATTAAATGAAGTATCCCCCTCCAATGCTTTTACATTTTCCAAATGTAGCTTTCAGGCTAATAATACCTTTTTAAGGCAGGTATATTAAAAATCAAAAGGCTAAATAACTTTGGGAGCATTGCAATTTGCCATTTTTCTAATTCATGTTGACTAACAAACCATGATTGCTCATTTACTTATCTGTAGTATCACTGCTTTTCAGGACACATCCTTTTGTGTGTAGTACCTGCAGAATTAGATTTTTAAAAATACAAAACAAGAGAACAAAAGAGCACACTCACAAAACACAGGAATATATATACACTGAAAGGAAAACCCCACACTGGATAGGTTAGCTGACCTAACTTTTTCTTTCCCCCCACTGAAGAACAGGACACTTCAGTTTGGAGTGACTGTAGAACCACAACTTCTCACCTTCAAGCTGGATGACTCAATGGGTTATGATGGAACAAACCTGTATTTAAACCAAAAACTACATCCCATAAATAGCAGGGGGTTGCAAAAAGTCATAAAGCCTAAATCAGTGAAATAGTTGAGGATTACATCTAATAAAACAAAAGCTGAAAGTCCTCTGAATAATGAAGTACATACACTGCAGCAGAGAAGTTAAAACAGTATTTTCACAGGAACAAGTATTAAGGTGCCACAAATGCTTTTGGTCTGGACACCAGATTTTTAAATATAAGGGAGTTAGTTGTTGAAAGTCTCATTATGAGAGCACTGAGGACAAGAAAGAAAATTACTTTTCAACTCTGTCTTAATTGTTTCAAGAAAGGATTCTGTTTCTGAGTAGCTCCTGCTGCAAGTAAAAGAACTGAAAAGGGCCCATGACTTGCAACATTAAACATTGGTTTGTTACTGTTCATGTTCTTTCCAGCATATTGTGTATTACAGACTGCCCACATCTTCAAATGGCTGATAGTACTGAGAGTGTAAAATAAAAACTAGGGTTTAGGGTAAGAGTAGGGTGGAAAAAACGAGGGAAATACGGCTACTTCTGTCACATTTCTGAATTTTGAAACTCTTTATAAAATGGCTTCTTATAACTTCAGTAATGTCCTGAGTTACAGCAAAACAGGTTAAAATTAGAATAATAATAGTTTATTTCTAGTGAAGGTCAGGCACCATTTGAGGATCTTAGTAATTTGCGGCAAGTCAATTCAGCTACACCTCTGCACACCTTACCAGCACTGTGTTATCACAGAATCACAACAGTGAAGAGGGAAACGCAAATTAATTCAAAGACTGAAGCCTCTGTAAGCCAGCAGAGATCATAATATCTTAAGGTAGGTATGTGAACTTTCTCAAGTCATGTTCTGTTGCTTACTGAGTAGGTTCTTTTTACAAATGTACTGCTGACACTGCAGGAAACACAGCAAGGCATCGCTTTCAGAAACTGCAGACATGGAAACCTTGTTAAAACATTATCTGATATTGCAGGCTGCTGAATGCTGGAGTTGATCAACCACTGCTGTTCACAAGATCATCAACAGTGAGTAAAACAAGTGTCTAAAATCAAATCAGTAATTAACACACAACTGCATAGTATGCTTTATGAAACAGATTTTACATAATGTCCCCAAATACTTTAGCATTAGATAACAGAGCGAGGAAGGGAGAGATTAGGTTGCATCAGCAACGGAAAAAATAACTTTGAGAGTTTAGATGTGCAAGTGAAGCATGAAGCAAGGAAATGGGGCAAACAGGAAGGCTGCACTCGATGGGAGACACACCTTGAAAGAAGATTTATCTACTAATGATAACGAGATTATAAAGCAAAGGGAAACTAAAGCTGGGGAAAAGAAGGGGAAAGTTTGTCATGTATCCACAATATAGTTCTCACACTAACTAGAACCTCACTTCTATTCTGAGAAAAATTTTATGGAGCGCTTGCCAAAACTTTAGGTCTGTGTGTGGTTACATAGCAGAGAATGGACAACTGAAAGGAAAAACAGAGCAGCAACTGCCGATCAGAAATCCCACTTCAGCTCTGGAAGGCAGAGAACTGCCCTATGGAGCCAGGACTGTCAGCATGTCACTAGGGTTAACTCATGCAAAGACTGAAGCATTACAAAGTATCCCATGGAGGAGCACAGCTGTGGCCTGAAGCCAGGGCAGGCTTCCTTACTCCACACTGTCAGGAGACAGGTCTCATCACATCCTGTGCAGGACGACAGAGCAGTGTCAGCATCAGTTAGGAATTCAAGTGTCTCTGGAAGCTCAAATCTTGCAGCCCTGAAAGAAACTCTGCCATGTAAGGCCAGGAGGAGGGGAGGATATCCAATTCATTTTTACAACTTCACTTGAATTATTTTGTAGCTGTAAAATGGTCACTCTGGTACAAAGTATGTGGTATCACCCTGAAAAATGAGTTCTAAATAATTAAACTGAAAATCAGTCAGAGCAGGTCCCAACAGATCACACTATAATTGCAGCTATTAACCACACATTTTTTACAACAGCCTAAGTCAGGGTATAAAAGTATGATAATTCATTTGAATTCTAGAAATACATTTTCAGCCAGAAGCTCTGAAAAGCCACACAGTTCAGCCAACCCCAGATATAAGTGATACATATTTGCCACCATGGGATCAACCTTACTGTTTGCTGAGGATATGCAGCTTGTATCACCTTCCTGGAATTCAGCTCCATGTGTTTGGTTCCTTCAGTAATTGCACTTACTCATCTTTGCATCACAAACCTACTTGTTACTATAATGCTGCAAGCAATTGCTGGCACTCTCAAATTGTATCTTCACAGCAGAGAACAATTTTCTACCTCTTATCTTAGGTTCTTTTGACTGACTTCACTGGAATTACCCTCTCAAAATGCTATAACTAACAGTTATTTTCATCACAGAACTGTAAGACTTACAATCACATTTAGTCTTCTTACACATATTTAGATGAAAAAAATGCATTTTGAGCCTTTTATTGCTTACACTAGCCAAACAGACAAGCTTGAAACCCAATACCTTAACATTTATCACAGGTGGACCACAAATACCATTTTAATTTGCTTAAAAGACCTGATAATTTGAGCATCGAAATGCTAAGCTCAAATGCTAAGCATTTGTGGACCAAGCAGATTTGTCAAATGAAGGAATTAAGACGATTTGAATTGATTGGTGTAATTGCTAATGAGATAAGATGAATCTGCAGCAAAACGAGGTCCAAGAGTTGCAAAAAAACGGTCACTTACTCTGAAGATCAAAGTCACCACCTTCAGAAAGCTGATCATTCCCTGCCTTTGCAGGAAGGGCATAGGGAATATTACATAAGGAACATCATTCACATTTGGAGTGAAAAAAACTTTAAAAGAAAAAAAGCCATTGCAAATACAAGCGGGATTTTATCAACAAACAGATATTTTTTCAAGCTATTGAAAAAATTTAACATTTTGACAGACTTGTTTCTAATTTTGGAGAAATATGCAGTATGTATGTGAATTAAGAGTAAACTGCTATCTTTGTTTTAAGAAATTTTAATGTATCTTCAGGAAGATAGGAAGGACATGAAATCATAAGAAAGCCAAACTGGACACTGTAAGTGGAGTTTAGTGGGAAGGGGGTTGTTTTGTGCATTGGGTGTGGAGGGGGGAGTGTTGTGCCGGTTTGGGTTGTTTTTCTTAACTAGCAGCAGTAATATTCTAGCTCTTGGACACTCTTTATGGTGTGAACTAGCGAAGGAAAAGGGTCATAAATCAAGATTCCATGTCTTTGAAAGCTTCCACAGCCATTGGTGCTATTTTCTTCAATATGACAGACACAGAAAATATCCTAGTGAACACATTTAGCATATAATGTACTGTTACATAGCAGCGACAGATAATTCAACATCATATTAAGTGGTTATATAGTACAAAGATTTTTGTGATTTGCTTCTTAAAACAATGATTAGATGTCTGCCATTTCCCCATTAACAGGTGCATTCTGTAGAGGAAAAATAATTAAAAATGCTTAATTGAATGAAATCTAATGAAATCAGAAAAACTTTAATACATCTCACTGTTTTTCAAATGAGTTAAGTAATAAGATGAAATAAATATTTAAAAAAATAAAAATAAAAAAATTGAAATATTTTCCATACAGGAAGTCTATAAGATAACTTCCAAAACTGAAAATGTTTTAAATTTCTTTTGTTACAGTATGCTGTCTATGCACAGTTTGCTTCAAGAAAAGGCTCCATGTAGACAACTTTTAAATATAAAGTTACAGCATTTATCTAAAATCATAAATAATGTAAAAAAAACCCCACTCTTAGGAAAGCTTATAAGGAATTGTTTGTTAAAACAGAGTTGAACAATCTCAAGTTAAGCTAGTATGGTCACACCTATCACTTGATCACTGATCCCCTGTTCACCTGGTTTATGGCTTGACGCTTGCATCATTTGTGTTGTGCTAGCAAAAGCATTTCTTGGTATTCAAAGAGAGAAAAAAGGCAAATTAAACAGGTAAAAAGTTTGCTATCAAACATTATCAAAAATTTACTTTTTCAGTTAAGAGCATCAAGACATTTTCTAAGCAAAATGACATAGAGGGAATGTTGGAAAAAATATCTTTTAAAATAATCAAATGAATAAGAAACACTCATGGACAAAGCAGCCTAAGAAAACTTACAGGAAGAGGCCAAGCACCTTTTTTATGCTGTTCAGTTTCTACTGCAGTTCTGGAACCTTTATTAGTTGTTACACAATACCAAAGTCTGCTTTGCTGGGTATCTGTATTTTTCACAGTAGTCTCTTGAGTTTCCAAGCCAGTGCACATTTTTCCAATGTCAGTCTATTTTAATAGAAACTGTCCATTGTGAAATGGAGGCACAGAATTGTAGAAATTACATGGAGCCTTAGACATAAGTCTAGAAAAGATTACAAGATTTTACTTTAACCACAAATACATCCATCTCAGATTGACCTGGGAAAGCTGTTCAAGACTGCTTAAGGCAATGCTTGCATTCGCTAAAAAGGATTATGATATGGCCTCCAAATTTATCAGGCACTGAAAAAGAACCCTTGTCTGAGGTGGAGAGGTTGGCAGCTGTCAGAGTGTAATTCTGATCAGGCAAACATTTGCCCTGCAATTCAGGTCAATGTGAACAGAATGCAGAAGTTTGTAAGCAAGTAGATATTTGTCAACATACTAACAACACGATCATACATACTGGTTGCAGTATCTTCAGCCACTTTATGTCAGTTTAGCTATGGAGAAATAAATTTAAAAGATGCTGATTTCTAGTTAACTGTTTACCTGCAGCCATACATTCTAAATGGTGGCTTACAAGCGTAAGGGTGAAATTCTCAGACTTTGTGTTTCTAGCTTTATCATTTAGAACTATTTTAAAAATACCCACATAACTACATTCTTTATTTAAAACATCTGGACAAAGCTACTTGTTCCAGAACAAGGGCCAAATCTAGCTCCAGCATGTGGTATTACAAAAGAAAATGGTATATCAGGAAATTCCTGATGTGAGCTGAAGGAATCTTTGTAGTGTTCAATCATGACTTCAGTTCTACTTCCTTGTGATCAGAAGATATGCAATGTATGGCTGTTACTGACCTGCCAAAATGTACCTATTCTCATTTCCTTCATCCTCTCTTAGAAGATGTTACCACAGCATTTTTTTTCAAGAAAAAGAGATAAGGTGCAAGTCCTATTTTATGACTGAAGGCTATTACTAGGTTTGCAGATTACAAGAAGATTGACAGTCCACCAATTAGGTTCATGCTGAAGCTGACTATTTGGCATCTGAGAATAAAGCAACTGATGAAGCAGAAAACTTAGTACACAATAATTACCTTCCCTCTAAGCTGTCAGCTAACTCAATGAACAGAAGAGGCTGGTCTGTCTGAAGCATAAAAACCGAGTCAGAGCATTTTGCAACGTGCCTCTAAGCTAATATTCACATTTTTGCTTATGTTTTCCCCAGTTTCCAGTGACACTCTCTTGAAAATAACAGTGATAGACTCATTCTTCAGATAAAGCCTTCATCCAATCAATTGCATTTCCATTTGAAATCCTTAACACCTGGGTCAGAATGTTAAAAATGTTAACACAAACATCTAACTTCTTGTGTCCTGCAGTTTGTGAAGGTGTCTGGTATTTATGTATGCAAGGCTGGGCAAAAGCACAAAACTGAAGCTTATTCCTCTCAAGGTGGGTACTTGAAAGTATGTGCACCAATTTTAGTCAGAAATTTAAACCTTATGTGAGGACTCAACTAAACAGAGTCAAGAAGATCAAGAGCTAGATGCACCCATTACACACAAGTGAAGTTACAGAAATTGACCTTTATTTAGTAATCAGTTTCTTTAACTTTTTTTTTTGATACAAAGTGACATTTTCATTTAGTACAGAAAAATCCATGTCAGAACAGTACCTGTCTGTTTCAGTTGTACCACTGGAGTCTACTCTGACCTCAAACTTTAAAAAACAAACAAACAAAAAAATGAGATAAACAAAACCCAACTTCTGTCCCTCACCATGAGAAGCAGGTGGACTAGTAATTCATTGATACCATTTCATATTTATTAATTTATATATATAGTATTATAATAGTATGATATAATACTATATAAAATACTATATATATATATTAGATGTTTTTATAGTTCAAAATACTCTATATAGTTATAACTATATAAATACTATAAAGAATATTTTGAACTATAATATAGCAACTGTAAAACAGAATTTAAATTTAGGACCAGATCTTTCTTTGAAGAACTGTACAATAAGAATCCCTTTTTTTAATTATAAAAGCTGCAAACAGAAGCAAAATTACAGCCTGTAGTGTAAAACTAGAAACCCTACATAATGAAATGTTAGAAACAGTGGCTGAGAAGCAGTTCTACTCAAATAATATTTTAAAAACAATTAAAATACAGTACCCAGGAAACATGGCACAAGAGACAGAAGAGACAGGTACAAAACCTGTGTTAGGAACACAGAGTCAGAAGTGCAAAAAACCAAAAAGGGAACCAATATAATAGAGTTTGGTACAACAGCTAAATAAGTATTGCAACCAAAACTAAACGATCACTTTTTTTTGACAGTGAAAACACTAACAATTTAGTACCTTTCTAAAGGCTTTTAATCAAAGCCCTAAAACTGTGTCTGCTCTTAAATAAAAACAATCTATGTGAATGCTACACACTGAAGTACAAAGCTTAAGAATTACCCTGCAAAATTGCACCAACATAAGCTTTCCATATTTACAGTATCTAAAAGTGACAGAACACAGCATGCTAGGCCTAGTTTACAACTCTTCCCCACCAGTACTTAATCCAGGCCCAACAATCAAAAATTATTATTTCTCAACACAAGTTAAGCTTGGATTGTTCAGACACATTATGACATTTAAATATTAGATTCATGCATAAAACAAGAAACGATATCTTTGACAGACAAGCATCAACGGGATACAAACAGTGGTCTGCCCTGTGTAGGAGTGTACTTACTTTTGAGCTTACTCCCAAGACGTACCGATTCAATCCCACCTTATTACCTGGTTGCCAAGTCAACAATGTGCTTAAAAATGGTCAAAATCGTAACTAAGAGTCACATTGCGCATAAACTGACCGCTCATATTCAGAAATTTCACTCCATTTTGGAGAGCTACCTCATTAAGTGAAAGGACATAGAGTTAAAAAACAAAACAAAACAAAACAAAAAGACATTCAAGTAAACAGCAAGAACCAAATACTTTGAAAAGGTTTTTGTAAACTTGTCATTCTACAGGGTTTTGCAGCATTGTTAAATTCGTTACTCATGGACAAGTACACACAGGTCACAACCCCTCGTGACAATCTGTCATGTGTACACGTACGACGTTAAGAGACAAGCTCGGTGAAGTGATCTACCCCTTTCCCACATGCCTCATCAGGTCCTTGTGTGTTCAGTGTTATCATTCCCCTTCATGAAACAGAAATCACTTACGGATAACTTTTTATAAAGACAGAAATGAACAGAGTCCATTGGATAGAAAGTTAGTTGGTTATTTACATCTGCAAAGTAGTTTCACAGCGAAATAATCTACAGCGGGCCAGCTGGAATCCACAGGACTTTGTTTTGTTCTTGGTCGACAGTTGTCATAATCTGAGTGCAAATGCTTGAAAGGGCTCCTCCCTGGACAATGCCTGGAGAAGAAGAAACACCACACACAAATGAGACTGGAACAAACAGTTATGAGTAATTACAAAGAGCAGTCTTCTGCATTTATCTGCAAAGTGTTTATCAACAGATCAGAATTAAGCAACTCAATTCAGTATTTGAAAGATGCATGACTCTACTAAAAAAAAAAAAAAAATCAAATAAACAGAACAAAGAGGTCAAGCATTAAATACACAGTTTCTTCTGCTAGCTCTTAAAACAGTCCAGGGAAGTCACAGAACTAACGGCTGTAATCAACTAAGACAACTGTTTTGTAAGAGGCCTCCATGTACTATTTTCAGAGGCATCAGGTGGCAAAGTTTAAGTCTAAAGATGGTCAGAACCTGCTATAATAAACTTTCTCTGTTCCACATGTGGTGTTAAGAGTTTTATATTTACAGGGTAATATACATAGAGACTACAGCTGTAGCAACTAGACACTATTTACAAATATTAGAAGTAAATTATGAGGCAGCTCACAGATCATTGAGCTAAATAAAACAGCGGCCATTGCTACTCCAGTTCTTATTGTCAACTACATTTAAGAAACAAAAGGCCAACAGCAAGCAACTCCCTGAAAATCAATTCAAAAGATAAATGAACACCTTTTATTATACCCTTGCTAAACATAACAGTCATAAAAAGTAAAATGCCAACACTGACACAGGAGAGGAGAACGTATTCGCTTTAAGACTTAAAAAGTGAGGAACTTCATGACTCAAGAAATATGTCAGCAAAGCCTCCGGCCACAGATACCATTAATGCTAAAAAAAATGGAAAGACTTACACAGCTTAAGAAATCATTTTCCTTAAAGGGAGAATTTGATGTCACATAAACTAATATTAGACTCTGCAATATATACTACAATTAACGATGTCAAGTGAGTTTGGATACAGAACACAGTAACTGACAAGGTCTATGGAAGGTGAAAGGGCAGGAGGAAATGATTCAGACTACACACTGTGCTCACAACACAGGAAACAAAGCCAACTTGAAAGAGTCATCAGTCAAAAAGTGTACTTCATGAAGTAGTCACGGAGCTCAGGTCAGAGAGTGTGTCCTATAGCTCCACAAGTAAGCTACCAGGTACAACACGCCTATCTACAGGCTTATTTTATGCACAACATTATAACTTCAACAAGCTTAAATGTCAATGCAGTTTGCACACCAATCTTCTCTGACTACCAGCATCTGGAAATGTTGATGGAGTCCACTGTACTTGGAACTAACAGAGGGGTGACCTTCCCACAGGGCGTATGAGAAGATACACATAAGACTCTCTTTCACTGACTGCCACTTCCACTATCAGAGTAAAATTAAAATGCCACAAATCACTAAATAAGAAGCAGAAGACAACATATGGGGATGCAATCTGGCCACGTGCATGTCAAATTCTGTGAAGGTTTAGTACATACCATGTAAAAAACACTCATATGGCTATTACAGACAGGTAAGTGATTTTGTCGAGAACGCACACAGGATGCACTGAGAGAGCTCTATACTACACATACCCCCTTTCCCTCTCCTACCCTTGGCAGTTATGCCTCAAAATATTTCTGTAAGAAATCCATTGTTCAGGGGATGAAAAGTTGGATTTTGGCTTAGTTTAGTGTGGTTTTTTGTTTCAAGTTTTGTTGCCGTACACATCAAGATGCTTAGAATTTTATCCCCACTCTTTTGAATGTATGTGGAACCAAATGAAAATATACTCTGAAATGAGCAGAGACAGTCTTCAAACACTGTTTTCTTTCTCTGGTAAAAATACAGTATTAACTACAAACCAATATTGATTTCATACATTTTATGAAGTTAAAAAGGCTTCTCAAGTTGAATTTAATTATTCCAAATCACAATGCATGCTCAAGAAATGGACAATTTTTTTGCTTTCTTGAAACATTTAAAGTATGTCTCACAAATCACAAATCACACAATCACAGAATGGTTGGGGTTGAAAGCGATCATTGGAAATCATCATTTGTTAATTTAAACTACAGCGTTCTTCTGTTGTTTTGTTTGATTTTTAAAATTACAAAAAAACCCTTATACTCCTTACATGATATAAAACTGGCATTACTGTCTCAAATTATCTTGACCATACTTCCAATACTACTGACTAATCATAAAACATTTTCAGAATCTCTTCAGGTCATAAGATTCATAACATTCAAAACAAAACCATGTAGAAGCAGGGAATAATACTTCTAACTTGATATTTCATCTCACAGTAAAACAAAACAACAGAACATGAATTTGCCAAAAGGGAAGGCAGAATGAAAAAAAATCAAGTGCTCGTTGAAAGAACGTAGGATCCTTTGAATTACAGTGTAAATGGGTTAAGTCGCCACTGTGCTCCTAGTGAAAATTTGATCAAATACTAACCTGTAAAATACTTGCTATACTCTTGTTCTATTTTTTGAGCTGTCTCAAATTGTTCTTTGGAATGTTTTTGTGTAACTTTGTCCCTCAGGAAGATTGGGTCTTTCTGCTCTCTGAAAAAAGAAAAAAAGGAAAAAAAAAGAGAAACATCTTGTATAAGAGTAATTTTTTTTTAAAATGGACTTGAAAAGATTCCCTCCAGTTGGGTGAATACTAAGGCTAATTCACGTGCAAGCAGACTCCTAGGCCCAGAGTGCCATCTACTGTGTTTCAGCAGTATCAGCAGTCATCAGGATCATTTCAGTGCTAATGAATTTATTTGCTGTCAGACCAAGACAGTAATTCTTTAAAGTTTCAGAGACTGAGAGGTGGTTGCAGAAGAAAGAATATAATTTTGTCCAGTTCATGTGAATCATCATCTCATATGCACGTCACTACTCCCTACACAAAGCTGGGCACAAGTACCACTCTTTTAAGAGCTTGTGAAATATCAAACATCAAGCAAATAGAATATTTCTGTTATCATACATATGACACATTTTTGAGATGCCTCTTTTTCTACTACAGAAGCTCTTAAAATACAAAAAACATAGAGAAATTTACATATGGTAAAAAATTATTTTAATTCTGATCAAGGCTTGTAACACTCTCCTCCAAATGTGACTTGGGGTACCCAGTAGGGAATTCTGTT